ATGGGGTGGGGGGGTGTGGGTAGGGAGCTGCTGCTGTGTGGGGCTGGGCCTGGTGGGCCCCACACGGTGGGGTATGTGTGGGGGGAGCTGCCCCTGTGTGGGGTTGGGCCGGGTGGGCCCACAGGTTCAGAGCTGGGCAAGAGATGGGTTTGCCCCTGTGTGGGGCTGGGCCTGGTGGTCCCCACAGGTTTGGGGTGTGTAGGGGGCACCTCTTTCTCTCCCCTCACGTAGGCCTAGGGCCAGTGGGGGAGTTGCAGCAGCGGATGCCGTGTGAGGGGGTAGCGATGTGCCCCAGCTGTTCTGCAGCTCTGGGCAGGGGATGTTCCCCCTCGGCAGGGCGGGTGGACCTCGTGGGTCTGCTGGGGGAGCAGAGGGTGCAGTGGGGACACCTGTCCCGGTGCTGGCCGCTGTGCGTGCTTGGAGCCGCACAGGCTGGGACCGTACGCTCACAGGGCCGCCCCGGTGAGCGAGGCTCCCATTGCCACTGCTTTTACTAGATGATGCTGCAGCATGTTTCTCGCTGTCTTGGGGTTAGGAGCAGCCTGGCCGAGCCCAGAGGTGCTTGGTGGGCCTCAGGCCTGTCCCACGGTAAGAAAGCTTACTGGGGGCAGCTTCACTGAAGGGTGAATGAAGTTCCCCAGGAAGGGAGCAAAAGTCCATGGGAGGTAGGAACAAATGCGAGTTGCCTCCTCACTCAGTACAAGGTGTGCTCCTCCTGCCCTGCTGTGCTGATGAGCTTGCGGGACAGCACGTGCCTTCTCAAAGCCCTGCCTGCCTTAAGGCAGCGCCCTGCCGCACACGCAGCGGGATGGGAGTGGGAGTGAGCCCTGGGGAGTCGCTGCGTGGGGCCCTTCTGGGAGCTGCTCAGCTGCTGTAGTTTGGAGGTCGTCTGACAGGAAGGACGTGTGAACACCTGGTCCCTGGGGACACTGCTCTACCCGGATCAGGCACTGACTCACTGAGGAGTAGCGAGGCTCCTAGTCCTCTCGCTGCAGAGGCTTTTCTGTCAGAGTGTCAGTGGAGACACCTTGGCCCAGAAAGGGTGCAAAGGTTTGCCTAGGGGTTTGGAGCCCTAAATGCTTTCTGGCAGAGCTGAGAGCCCTCTGTTCTGACCTCATTCTGCATGTCGGCGTTTCTCAGGGATTTTTTCACTGGAATAATCCATCAGCACCTCTGAAATCCAGGTCTTCGGTGAGTTCAGAGGCTGTATTTAAAATACAGGTCCGGATCTGTTTGCATCAGTGGAACCTAGCTCTGCAGTGGAAGTGCCTGAAGCTGTGGGAAAACTAGCAGAGATGCTGTGTAGCTGAGCTAAATAAGCTCCCAGAGCTGTCCTGCATCATACTTTCCTACTGAGGGAGGAGTGTGTTTGGGTTTTTTGCAGTCTGAGTCATCCCCTTGATCTTTCTGTAGCCCTGGCTGGGGTTAGACCTGGAGTGGAGGTGAGCTGCTGCTGCAACGCTGCAGCCACACATGGGCTCCTTTGCGTGCAGAGCCTTGCTGACATGATCTCACTTGTCCATGCTGTGCTGACAGCCTGACTGGATGTCCAAGGCTAAAGGCAGTGGTGCAAGGTGATCAAAGTGGCTCTGCTGTGAGGAGGGGAGCCATACCCATCTCTAGCCAAGCATGGGTGCTCACCCGGCCTTGTTGCCGTCAGCAGAGTGAGGACAGACGTGTGCTGTTTGCAGCCTGCGTGCCACCACTTAACATCCAGCGTGCAAGCAGGGAGCGATGAGACTGTTTGCACATCCTGTTTCTGCTTCCAGCTGCTTGACACAGCATGCTGCTGGAGACGACTTCCCTCTGACCTGCCAGAGTGACTTGCAGCATCCCATGCTCCTGTGCCGGCACTGCTGAGCTCCTGGAAGAAACTTTCATTCAACCTTACTTTTTTTCTGACTCATGCTTCGTTGTTCTCCTGCTCCCCTTTCAATGAGTTAGCTGGGGAGTGATGATAGCTGGTGGAGGGGGGGAGGGAGAGACAAACTTGGATGGCACAGCTTGAAGGTTTGGCCTCACACAGCCACAGGTTCTGCTCGGATTGGGGCTGGACCTGCGATGCACTGGGGTCAAGCGGGCTAGAGGTGGCTGTGCTGGGAGAGCATGTGACACCAGCCTTCAGGGGCTGTTTACCGCCAGTGTCTTTGCTTTCAGCCTGGGAAACCTGCTGATCTCCGGGAAAAAGCCTACCTCTTGCCCTTGTAGAAGTACTGTGTGGCTACAGAGCGGTGATCCCTCTAGGGACAGCGTCAGCAGCTCACGGGTGCGAGCACTGCTCTCAGACTGCACTGGAAGCACAGGGACCTTGACCCTGATGGGGGATGTTCTGCTCTGGTGTCATCGTCCTGGCTGTGGGGAAGGAGGCAGGTTGTCGTGTGCTGGATCTGAGCTGGAACATGGTACCTGTACGTTTCCCTTGTCGGCGGCTAAATGCCAGCTCGCAGGGATTGGGAGG